TGTTAAAGAGGACATCGACATGTTTTTTGTTTCAAAGTCAAGTGATCTCTTTAAACAGGACATTAACAACCTGATTGTAAGATGGAAAAGCATCATTGATAAGATTGGAGACTATTTCATTTAATAAATGTTTTGTTTTGATATATAAGTTGTTCGGGTTTTTTTCATTTTAAAAAAGTGATAATGTCTTAATGACCTAATATAATGCATCTATTTAAGGCTCCCAATTATAAAAAAGAAAATACAAGATATATGTAAAACTTGTTAAAGATAGTATTCTAATGTAGAAATATAATTACTGAGAAGATTGATGGTGATTCCCCAGTTTGTTGGGAGTTGATTTGTTTTTAATTAAAGCCACAATACGTTAGAGCACATTTTTCAAATTTGTTGTGTTTTTACCTGCATGTAATACATTTTGATATTTCAAACTAGAATTAATCAATACCTAAAAATAAAAATTACCCAAAGCAATAACAGAATTGAGGAAAAACAAGACAATTGTACATTTCACAAATACATCACTTATTCACAACCATGGTTTTGCTAGGAAAGGCATCATTAATTATACAATAGCAATAAAGCTGGAAATTTAAATAAAAACTCTAATTATTGATAAAGAAAATTGTTATACAGCATTTTAAGATTCCAGTTGGTGATGGATAAAACTTAACTGTTTGTAAATAGATCAAATTTAGGGTTGTTATGACTTATATATCATATGCAGTGTCTTTATTAAGCAAACTATATATTTTTAATGTGGCCACTATGATTCCAGTCTCTGCATTGTATTTGTGTTATCTGTGTTTGAATAATGTATAAATATTATTTCTCTTCTGAGTAAAGTAAGAAATAGAGGTTTTTATCAATCAGATTTTCTGCTCTTTTGAATGACGTATATTCAGTTGAACCATTACACATGCTGTTACTGTGACCAAAAGTAACCAGTAAGAGTGTGACATGTTCAAAATATCAAATTCAATTTATATTGTTCTTATTAATGAATTGCTAAACATTTTTCACTGGACGATTATGATATTGCAAAATGCTTTCAATGAACTTCCACAGAAACTTTTTTCTGTACTGTATGAGGCACTGCTTTGGTAGCAGTCTTGTTTCAGCAGAATTATAGGGGTGATCTTTTTATATTTTATCAATGGTTTGGTAAAAGTTGAAGCCAGAAAATTATAATGTCAAATGATTGTTTATGTATATATATATGTTTGTGTGAATTACGCTTAAATGAATGCAATTATTACATTCAAGTGAGTGAAAGAACTTTCAATTGCTACATACTGATTGTCTTTCAAACAATACTACTGGTGATTATGTTCAATATTATACTAATGAAAAGGTTGTTACAATGGATAATGAAATTGTCATTTGGAGGTTATTGATTTTAATGTTATTTGTTTAAAGTTTGTAGAATGACAATCTGTACTTAATTTGCTGTTAACATAAATCTTCACAGTGGGTTGTCTGTGCTGTGCCCACCACAGTCATCGAAGCCAATTTTTAGCTTTATAAGCCCACAGATTTTCTGCTGTGCATCTGGGTGGCTAAGTAGTCATTTGCATATAAAAGATAAATATTGGTTGGTTGTTTTGTATATTTGTCTAAAGCTATACAAGGGATATATGCACTAGCTGTCCCTAATTTTGAACTGATAGCACCCAGTGAAAACTCTTGGGGCATTCTAATCGAATATTGGGATTTGTTCATTCTTAAGTGTTAAGCTTGTAGTATTGAGTTTTTTCTTCTCACATCTGCCCACTCCAGTAGCTCAGCAGGAAGTCAACAGGCTTATGATGCTAAAGTTCAGATTTCGATAGTCATGGTGGGCACAGCACAGATAGCCCATTGTGCAGCTTTGTGCTTAACCAGGGCTCACTGTTAATGTTTTTTTAGGGAGCTAGCTGGACCCCCAAACATGCATTTTTAGGGTCTTGTAAGAAGTTTTCGGGGGCAATCCTATAGTTCATTGTAAAATGAACTATACAGTGGAGATTTTCAGAAAAATCACTTAATTAAATAGTAGATGTTATGTAAATTGAAAGAAAATTAAAGATATCAACTTGTGAACTTGGATTTTATGAAAAAACAAGAAACAAGTCAAACCATTTAATTTTTTTCAGACCATTTAAATTATTTTTATTTCATATATGATCTTTAATTTCTCTCTAAAGCATGGTATAATAGTAACTTTTTGTTCTCCTTTAAAGTAGTCCTTTAATAATCAAAATAAATAATGAACGAAAATATTTGCATCACTCTCAGTGTAATCTGTTCTTGTTCCCACAATAACACATTACCATCGAGCTGACACATTTGTCAATAATAGGTCAAACACTTTTGATGGAGAGATGGAAAAATAATACAATTTACATTACCACTAACTTTACAGCAATCAGTTCCTTCATATTCCGAAACAGCTGTTAATTTGCCGTTCATGAATTTCAATTTGTAATAAGCAAAATCCTCAAATTAGCAACATATATATAAAATAAACAAATAGTTAAACTTAAATTAGTGTCCTTTCCTAATCCAAATAAATATTGAAAGGAAAATTAGTATGCAACAGTGTCTGTATCCGATGATGTCTCAACATCCATTTCTTGGATTCTTCCCCCTTCTTCATCACTCTCCTGCGCCTGCTTCTCAATCTGGAACCTGCCAGCATTTGATCTCGTTGTGCAAAGTGATCCTGAGTTCCAAAAAAAAAACAGCTGTTATGGGATCAAAATCACCCACTGAAGGCGAGTGGAGCATGATTAGAAGCTGATCAGTGATCCTGTCAGCTCCCAGACAATATCTAAAATTGGTCTTAATCATCTTCATCTTGCCGAATTCTCTCTCTGCCTCATTAGAGCTGGCTGGTACAGACAGCAGTAGGTCAAAGAGCCCACAGATGTTGGGTAGCTACTCCTTAACCCCAAGGATGATAGCAGCACATGGCTGGCCTTTCTTGCTAAGTCTGGCGAAATTAAGTAATGAAATAGATGTGGAAAATGTATCAGAGAGATGATTGTGAGAATTGTATTATTATACCTGTTTTTAAGTAATTTTGTGTGGTCATTTAAAATTATTAATTCATATTATGCATTTTACCGATAATCGGGTCGGCAATCGGAATCGGTAGAATTTGTCAAAACCGATTGCCGAGAAATGAAAAATAACAACACCCAGACCACTTTATTCACAATAACAATCTTCTGATTTGTAAGTATGCTTGAAGTCACAACTCTGTACTTTTTTCTTTCAATATAAAAGACTAAACATTATTCACCTTAGAATAAAATATCATCATTTGAACAGTCTTTGTCTGTTTCTCATTTATATACATGAGTTGATAAACTGAATGAAAAAAGGTTAAAAACCAATGATCTGCACATCGCGAAGTACAACCAATTCTTTACGCACTGTACAATAGCAAACGGTTGATAACAACATCCTATGCAGAGCTAATGCTGGCGAGAAACTGTCCATTTGAACTTCTGGCCTTTTTTGTCAAATCATGTAGTGGAGCAGTTATAGTTGCAAAGTCCTTCACAAACTTCCTGTAATAGGTACAGAGTCCCAAGAAACTTCTTAACTCTCCCACATTGTCTGGTGTTGGACAATCATGCACTGCTTTCACCT